AAGATAACGAGCTTCTCTTTAGGACAAGCTGCAGTAAGTGTAGTTTAAGAGACGAGCCCTTTCCTGCTGCACCAGCTCTAACCCTTCAGTCATTCAGGCTACAGAAGCTGTGCACAGCTGCCCCAGGGAGCAACTCACTTACAGAGAACTGCTGGCCTCCTGCTCCAACCACTGATGCCCAAAAGGGGGCATCACTCATAGATGGGAAGCTCTACAGCACACAGGAGAGAAGTGAATGACAGTTTTATAAGGGCCCAAAGCTAAAGCAAAAGGCAACGGAACCGACACACCACAGGTTAAACAGAAATCAGAACTACACAAACAGAACTGAACCTCGATTGTGGGTCAGTTATGCATGAACTTCAGTTCACACAGCTCAGTTATAAAGAATCCTTCAAGTACGCTGCCTTTGTGACCAACCCCTTGCTCATGTGCCCACTCGAATCACGCAATTGCAAATAACCCAGACTCACAAACATGCAGTCTGTAATTCACTTAAAATGGAGTATTTTACAATACTGATGAACACATTCCACAACCAAGCACTATAGATTAAAGAAGGGATCCATTTCAGTCCCCACTGAAGTACAGCCCCACTTCGGTGACACAGCAGCCATTTTGCTCCTGAAAACTTCTTCACTAATTGGGAAAAAAAAGGGGATCTTTTAGGATGCCAGGCTGCTCAAACCCGGAGAGGAGTTTAGAAAGGACACAAGGGGGTAACACTCCAACAGTTACTCTGCCATTATTGGTAAATCAAGAGCTCAGCTTAGTGCATCATCCAAAGGATAGGACCTGCAAAAGCACAAGTCACCATACCGCGTTGTTTGGAAAATCTGGTCCACAGACAAGAGCGCCACCTACTGGTCCTCCAAAACTACTTGCAGTAGCAACCTGGTTTTCCTGGAGATCTCCCATCCCAGGACTGACCGGGCCCAGCCTTGCTAAGCACCCGAGATCTGACCACATCAGGCTACAAGCTGGTAACACAGCTCACATACAAGGAAAGCCATTAAAAATGCAACAAATGCCCAGACCAATCTTTCTGCATTTAAATGCCTCTGTATTTTCATGATTTAAACCAAAGAAATTGAAATCCAACAACCTTTAGGCAGACATGTAAAGCATGCCCATGGTCTAGAAGTGACCCAACTGTTCTATAATGTTCATGTCCACACAGGAAACCAGAATCTCATACCATGCATGCACTCCAAATTCACAGCAAAATGAGAAATATGCACCTGCATGACAAATCTCAATATCAAGTTGCTCTTGATGGGATATTGATGGGAATGCATGTATATTTATCTGCTTTCTGCCCTTAAACGCAAAACTCCAACTAGTTTATAAAATTTTATAGAAACAAAAGTGGCTTATTTATAGAATTCCAAATATTCAGTAACAAATACACCTTCTCCCTGGGTTAAACAAGACTCAGCTTGATGCAGAATCCTCGCCTCGGTCCTGGAGCAAGACTTTGCAGGTCAGCAGAGTGTGCGAGATGCAGAGAGCAGGGTTGTGTGGCGAGATCTCCTGCAGATGAATAACTGAGACAACAACGCGTCTCCCCTGGGGCTCCATTTCACACAGTTTCACACTGTTTCTGCTGTGGCGCAGGCAAGGGAACGACTGCATGTTACCTTGCACCTCTTCACTGAAAATCACAAGGAACCTGTATTTCAATCTCGTCATGGAAGCGCCCAAGTACAGTGCAGGGTAGCAATTTCAAAGAATTGTCTAATTAACTGCACTGCCTATTTTAAGTGTATGTGAATTTGATATTTATTGTAATTAGAGCTTTAAAACTTCATTCATCATTATTTCTCTCCTCCAGTATAACTGGAGGAGATTCCTCTCTCTCTCCCTAGAGGACTGTGCTGCTGCTGTGTTCTTGCTGCCCCCTCGCCAGCACACACCTGTTGGGCGCACAAGGACGAGGAGCCCTGCTGAGCCTGCAGTTGCTCTCCTGTCCTTCCTCCTCACTCGCGGACAGCAGGGGGCGAATAAAGGAGGATCTCTGCCGTACTGAGAGTGGCGATTCTCTGTGCTGCTCACACACCAGCTAAGACAGGTTCGCTTTGGATGTGCTTCAGGGAAACAGTTCTCAGCTTCTACCAACTCAAGGAGTCTCGCCTTTTCCAAAATCCTTGTCTCAAAACAACCGGTTTTGAAGCAGCTGTCTCCCCTGTTAACTGCCAGCTGTGGCTCTTTTTTAAAATGGCAAAGACTGGATCTTATAACAAAGGGGAACTTTTAAATCCACTAGCAGCTGTGGGAGGGAATGTGCTGTTTGGGGCGTGGTGGACAGGCTCTCTCGTGTCACCAGAAGTGGGATATTTACTCTCCTACATCTGCCAGAATCCACCCATCAAGTGAAATGGAGAAGGTCACACAGAATGGGAATCTAAAGCCGACTTGCGTCGAAGAAAATACCTGTAGAGAGATTCATGCAAGGGTGGGCGCCGGCTCGGAGGTGCTCGACCGCGATGCGGTGCGTGTCTCGAGACCCCGAAACCCCAGGAGGACGGGGGCCTGGCAGGACCGCACTCACCGAGATGGGATAAGCAGCGGCGCCAGCGGCAGGGGGGCCGGGCATCATCGGCGGAGTCATGGCGGGGTTGGAGGGAGGGAACAGGCCCAGGGCATTGAGATTCAGCCCCGGGATCAGGTTCGACTGCAGCTGCGAGGAAGGAGAGAGGCGCATCAGCAGGTAAACGGAAGGGTAGGGGAGAGAACACAGAAACACAGAAACACAGAAACACAGAAACACAGAAACACAGAAACACAGAAACACAGAAACACAGAAACACAGAAACACAGAAACCGCTCACAGCGCCCAGAGCCTCATACCGGGAGCTAGACGAAGACTGTAGTGTGAAGAGCACAAACCACCTGTCGGTGTGAAAGGACTTAACAGCCCCCTGATGCAGCTGGGAGCCAGACCATTCAAAGCCCTTAAAAAGTTCCTGAAAATCAACAGGGAGCCAGTGCAAGGAAGCTATAACCGATGTATGAACCCCCACGTTACTTAAGATCCGAGCAGCCGAGTTCGGAACATACCGGAGCTTCAGCTATTTGAACATACCAGCAAGCACTGCTTTGTCATACATCAGGCTAGGAAAACATGAAGACATGCCCAGGCAGTTCTGCATCAGATTGGCAGAGATGTGGGAGGATAGAAAACCTTTTAAAGAACATTTCAAAGGAATAAGACCTTCACTATATTGTGACCGTCATGCGCTTTAAGTGCAAGGCTGAGTTCAGAGGGGTTTTTGTCCTGAGTACTTGGCCCTGGCATCAGTCCAGTAGAGTGGATAAAGAAAAACAATGAACAGAAATGCAAAACTCTGATGCATCCATCTAAATACTGTAGCGAGACTTGATTCATGTCCAGGTTCATGTGAACCAACTGCGATGTCACTGGCAAAGACACGAACAGCGACGCCCAGAGAGAACGGAGAGATATTAAAAAGAATGGGACCGAGAACAGAGACCTGCAGGACACCAGGTGTCGCCAAATTGGATGAGGAGAGAGCAGTAACCGATTTGTTAGATTTAAAACCACCAAAAATTGCAGAAATACAAAAATTTGCTGCATGAGTTTTTGAACAACTAAACATTGTAGCAAGAGCCTAAACACTTTGAGTTCAGTCATTATAAGTTACCATTTTTGTCTCTGGGGCTGTTGCTCTTCAGCTCATCGTATTTTTAGCTGTGTGAGTGGTGTGACTATCAAAGGCAGCGCTGAGGCACAACAGGACAAAACTGAAAGCATAACTGACCAGCAGCACTAACGAGGGCTGGTTCCAGAGTGTGTGCACACAGCTCTCATAGCTTGGGACTGAACAGCAACAGCCGCTTCTAGAGGCAAAAATGGTAACTTGTAATAACCAAACTCATAAGTGTGTAGACTCCTGCTTTTATAAACTGAGATAACCGCATGTTTAAGACTCAAGAGACATACTCAAGAGACCTTAATGGTTATTGATATTTTGCACTTTTGTGTCTCACTGCAAGTTGTTGAACACTGCAGGACAGTGGGAGAGGTAATTTCCTCTGTTTGCGAAAGTGCTACTGCTTTTGGCACAAGACAGCTAAGGTACGTGTGTTTTTTCACAGCAAGAAAGCCCTCAGCAGCAGCGATGATGATGGACACAACTGAACTGCTCATCACACTTACATTCATGGCGGCGACATCATTTTCATAAGATTCTCGGATTTTTTTCATGACTTCTTCTTCAGCTTTGGCACAGGCCTCAATGGTGCCCTTGATGGTGATGGTTCTTTCTGGATTATAGAGCGTCAGGTCCTGCAATCTGGAGAAGGAGACAGGGTTTAGCATTTGTCCAAACCTGGGGTGGGGGGGAGGGGAGAGATGAGCCAAATGAAGGGACCAAGGACCACGCACGGAGAGATGGTGATCTTCGTGTCTGTGTCTTGCTCGATCTTCTTCAGATTCCTTCCTTCCTTCCCTATAAGGCGTCCGACAAAGTTGTTGTGCGCCAGTATCTTCAAAGGGATCTCTTCCGTACTGAAACAATAAAAAAAGCCACATTGGACACCATAATGAAAGCTTATGCAGCAAGAAGTCAAGTACAAAGATGAGGTGGTCAAATTTGCAGAAAACTAAATTGCTTCAGTTATGCCCTGTCGAGTCTTGAACTTTGTAACCCATACTGTTGGACAAAGTTGGGAAGGCAGGAGAGAGAGAAGGAGAAACAGAAGCACAATCTTCACAGATAGTGATGATCTTACAATTTGGTGTCCTGAGCTTCTTTCTGCATGATCTCCATGATGGTCTTGCAAGCAGCCGAACAGCCTTCTGGCGTGGAGTGAATGGTGATGGGCTTCTCCGCGGCTCCCGCGTTCTCTTTCCGGTGAATGTCAATCCTGGGACACAAGGAAAAGCAGCCTCACGGACATGAGCTACAGCCCCGCTCGTTGTCAGGAGAAACATGGACAAGGCACGGGTGATCTCCCAGCTCCAATCGCCATCTCGCACCCTGTTGCTCGCATGTTCTCCCTCTCAAGCTCACCATGGGCTTACTGCTCTTAGCCATCTTGCCCATTAGCAACCATCAGTCTCCACTTTGTGTCCAAACACTGTACAGAGATTGAGCTCCTCCCGTGTACATTTTGTCCCAGTGCACTTGTTGCTTTGCTCTTCCAGCCTGTGCTAGACTTACTGACAATTTATTTGACCTTCCATGATCGTTCCTTTGACTGAATGTAAGTCAATACAAGCCTTAGAAGATATTTACGCTGCACTGGACAGGGGCATCACCCCAAGCTAATATATACAGGGCTATTTTTTTTAGATGAGAACTCCAAGAGTCAAGATATATTTATAGATCTTCTCAAGACAGACCAGTTAAACGGATGTAGGATGCTAAAAAAAAAAACTCCAGGAATATGACTGGGAAAGGTCCCGGACTTACTTGGACTGTGTCTGTTTTGTAACGTTCCTGATCGTGGCTCCCTCTTTGCCTATTATAGCACCTACAAACTGCGTGGGCACCAGCATCCGCAGGGGCACGTCGGACTGCCTGGGGCGGGTACCTGCCCCGGGGGAGGCCTGGCGGGGTGGACCCCTGGTTCCGAACCCGCGCCGCCCGGCCAGGGGGTGTGATTGAGGAGGCTGCTGTGTGGCCATCTCATCGGGGATGTACGTCACCTTCAGAGCATAGTTCTCCAGCTGGTAGCCGTTCAGCTTCTCAATGGCTCTGAGCGCAGCAGGAGAGAGAAACCGAGTCAGTATGTAAAACAGCAGCAGCCTACACGAGCATAGCCAAAGCTATGACTGTTCAACGATCAGACAGATGTTTAGAAAAAAATGGAAGTTTAATTAATAGGAAAGGTCAACATTCAAGCACTTAAAATGAACTGGCATCAATTTGGACAGGGGACCCTCAGGTGTGGAGGTCTGCACCTGTATGAGAAGTGCCAGCTAGTCCCCAGCTCAAGAACACCTGGGCAGTGGACCCAGGACTGACTAGAGCCACTCACTGGGTGATCAGTCTCACTGAGCTCTACCTGGATGGACCTCGGCCGCTCGGAGCTCCAGCAGCACCTCCTTCATGACTGTGAAGATGCACATTTTAAACCCAGACATCTTGTGTACAGATCTCTCTCCCTACCCACACCCCCCCCTTACAACACTAATAATGCAGTCCTCTAGGGTGTGTGTAAGGCATGCGCGTGTGCACGCACACGGGGAACAAAACTGCAAAGAAACTTTACCACTCCTCTTCTGCAACTGTGAAAAACCCAAACGCTGCTTATCATGCTTGTATTTAACACTGCTGCTGAGGGAACTTCTCATAAAAGCCTGAACTAGAGTGCAAAACCATTGAGGCAGAAAAATTGTTTTTTTTACACAAGTGACTGTGTACAATGAAATTAGAAAGTTTAGGTTTCAAAAATGAACTATAATAGTGGCACCCAAACAACTAAATTGTGTTCCAAATTGCACAATAGCTCACACATGGCTGCAGTGAGCTTTCTGGACACTGGGAGGCAGCAGTTGCTTCATTGTATGACAAGCTGCTGTGCTACATCCACAAATATCTTCCTGGTGCCAATTTAACCACCAAATTCCATATCTTGAAAATGTAAATAATTTTGGTTTTAACGGATGACATTGTGCAAAGAGTAGTAGAAATCCTCTTGATAGTGTCCTACCCCCCCTTTGTGAAGAAGCACTAACGGAGATCCTGGGAACACGACCGCACACGCAGCACGCCATCGGCTCCGACCCGCGGGCGGCCTGGGAAGGTCGTCTCAGTGGCTGGAGGTGTGGACTGAGCTTGCGGCTGAGCCCGTCATTGCCACCCAGCAGCAGTAAGACTCCACAGATCACCTGTGTGTCTTCACCTGCTGGCCCAGAGTGCAACAGCCACGTCCACCCCGTCAGCTGAGACGCAACGGGCACACTGTCCAGATCAATGCTTTCCAGGCACTTGCTGAACCACTAACTCGCCAGTGAACTCTCGCAGTTCCACAGCCTCTTCACCTGAAGCACGAGCCCGACGACCGTGCTCAAACACTGTGCTCAAGTTCTTTTAATCCCCACGATGTAATGGATACGCACCCTTGAATACTCAACGTGCAAGCGTCTGCAGCCAGAGTTTGCAAGTCATCATACTGCCATGGGGAATGTGCACGTTTATTTTATGCATCTTACCTCATATCTCTATTTAATGTCTTTCCTTCCTGCCTGTGAATTAATAGCAGCTCTCTACCCGGCTACGGTCTCCTTTCAAGGATGCTCAGGGCAGAAGCTGTTGCAAAAATCAACTATCTAACACGCCATTGCCACCATGTTTTTAGGATGACCATGCCCAAGCGTGCACCTCGCCCGTTTCTGGTCAGATAACACAGTTGTTCATTTGTGGTGACTTCCTAGACCTCTGAAGACTCCGGAATGAATCTTGACTGAAGCAAAGGGAACCCCGACATGAAACAGGGGATCTAAAAACATTTCCCCACATCAGGAAACGAAATCCTGTTCCTGTAGCAGAAATGAAGCTTTGAAATATGGAATTCTAAGAACACAGCCAAGTGACGTCAAATAGAGGATTTTCTTGCAATGATTCCTGAGGACACAAGTGGCCCTGCTAAGCCAGGTGCCTGGAAAACCCATCTGATTCGAAGTCAAATCAACCATCTTCATCTAGAGGGACTTAAATCGGACAAATATAAATCCACACACGCTGGAATTCCAAACACTGTCCATTACCGACGCATGACATCCTGCTCTTTCAGGAACATCAGTGCCACAGTAGCTCTCAAAATAGTTTCAAATCAAGCGACTCTGTAGTGGTAATGACCGAGTGATGGAAGACGCAGCACAGTCTCTCTCAGGAAGAAGTGGTGAAGAGTCCACATGCTGAGCTGGTGGCGAGTCTTTTCAACAGCACTTTCTGGCAGAGTAATAAATCTACAAGCCATATTCAATTTGAAGGAAAACCTCAAGGTAAAAAAAAATCTAATAGCAAAAATGCGGACAAATCTGATTTTCCAGAATCCTGGACATTAACCACTTTAAAATTTTACTCTCCAGTAAAGGTGAGGGGGATGCAGGGTGGTATCTTTCTAAAGAGGAGACAAAACTTTCGCAACTTTGCCAAACCAGGATTATGAACAGAACATTGATGACATTCAGTTTGCAAGCACAGATGCAGGAGATGCTTCCAGGTTTGCGAAGAAGCCAAACAAAAGCTGGACAACTCCGCAGGGTGGGAATAAACCGTTACCACACTTTCAGCTGCAGAACTGCTAAGATAAAGCAGTGATCACTGGGGAAAACTTCCCGTACTCGGATCATTACAAAACTCAATTCGGAAATTAAGTTTAGAATTTATCAGTCACCATACCCACAGTATCAGTGTCAGTAATTAAAACGCCAATAACGATATACATTCATCCAACTTTCTATTGGAACAAAACTGTCTCGCCAAGCTCTGGGCAACAGTATGCAACATTCTCCAACAAAATTAATGTGTGAACCCAGAGAGGTCTCCATCTCAGGTCCTGAACAGCCCCACTCCAGCACATTTTACAGACCAGCCTTCAAAAATCAGATTTCTAAAGGCCTGGAACAACTTAAATATCAATTAAACGGGAGGTGTGTGCAATTCACTAATCTAAAGATCACGTGGAACAAAATAACTTCCAGCCCTCCAGGAGCAGATCTGCCTTCACGGGAATGTTACTTGCAAGTCACTGCTGCTGACCCTTAAAACAGGGGATCGGGGCTGACCTGTCAACTGGACCAGTCAGACACCCCCGTACCAACCAAATGTTTTCGTGCTCACAGCAAGAAGGAGCTCGACGGATCTTCGATTTTTTCCCCCTCCCCCCCAAAAAGGCTGTTCCGTGGCCGAGCTCTCCAGGACCCCACCGGCCAGAGACCCTCCCGCCGGTCTTGGACAGGAAGCCCTCCATGTACTCACTGTCTGGCCTGCTCCTTGGCTCCGTACTTAACATTGACGACGGCGGTCTCCGTCTCGGTGTTCACTGCGGGGAAAAAGATACACCATTAGAGAGGGCCCTCCTCTGCGCTGTGGAGCGCGTTCAAATCAGATGAAGCTCGAAACGAACGTACCTTGTTCACAACTTTCGACAGAGCCGTACTGAGCTAACAAGCTGTCTAATACCTGCGGGGAGGAGAAAGGACAAGGTCAGAACGTATGAAATCCAGGAAGAAATTTCAGACCTACAACGAACATTGTGCAAGATTTCGCAAGCCCCAGGTCTGCCTGAAGAACAGCAGCTGCATTATTCCAGCGTCAACTAACTAAGAGCCCAACATCGCTTCCCTCTCCCCACAGAGGTACAGCCCTGTCCAGGGGTGGACAGCAGGGCCACGCTGAGCCACCAGCGAGGGAAACACGCGGCTCCCGGGAGCACCTGTAGGCTCAGCAGCCCACACCGACACAAGCGCCAGTGAGCTCCGGGGCTGGGCGTCTGCACCCCTTCAGGTGGCACAGCAGGCTTGTCAGTTAAATCAGAGTCCTGCCGAGGCAGAAAAGCTTTTCTGAACACCACAAAGAAAATGGCCTACAGCTTGAAATAATGGGCTCTCGGGGTCCACACTCCTCAAGAAAACGGGGCCTCCGCGTTCATGGGGAAGACTTCTTCCTCTTCTCTGAAATCATTGGGGAAGTTTGGTTTTGGGTCAAGACCACAAGTCTGATACAAGGAGGGCAGAACTAATCTCCATCAAAGGATTTCAACTGAACAAATTTCTCACTCAGGGTTATGAAACCAGAAACCCAAAATTAGTTTATTTTTACCATAAACCATTTCAGTGGTCTTGAAATAGATGCTTTTTCCTTTTACCAGTCTACAGTGTGCACGTCATGGAACGTGTCACACGTGTGATGCTGCCAGAAGCCTGGTCTGGCCTTGCCTGTGGTGGACAGGGCTTTCCATATTTAACAGCCTGTCCACGGATAAATCTTCAAGCTCTGGAGAAAAGGGTTAAGCTCAGCGGAGAGGGTGCAAACTGAACAGGATTCTTTGCATGTCTGTGGACTGGATTCATGTTTTGCAGAACAGGTGGCTCACAAATCCAACAGATCCTTTGGGAAGCAATCCAGCATTTATAATTCCCAAAAGCTTCCGTCTGCTGCCAAGTGTAGAAGTCCGTACAAGAGCAAGAATATTTCAGGAGAAAAACTGCCTGGAACACCTAGCACACAAAGCAAGTGCTCTAGGGCTGGCCTCAGCTCTTCACGACAAGTAAATTCATTTTGTACAAATATGGAAAACCGAGTTTAGTGGGTCATTCTGAATCTGCGATGGAAACATCCGCTCTGAGCGCAGTCAGGCTCTTACAAAAACAGCACTTCCATATGAAGATGCACCAGTGTTCAGATGGAATTTTAGACGGGAAATGAACTCAATGTTCAAGCCTTTCCGAGACGTCCAGCGATCGAAGTACGGCCGAAAGAGGTGAAACGAAGTCGATAAGAGTCAGGGAGGAAAATAAAACCAGAAGAGAGAGCAGCCGTGTAGGACCAGGAGTGAATCAAAGCAACCCAAACAGATCTACTGCAAGCCCTTCATCCAATCAGAGGTCATGTTAGTGCCAGTGAGCAAGAGCACCGAGGAACAAGAGTTCCTTCACCACACTTAAACCAAGTTCTGCCCTGTACAACGCAGGTCTCTAACAAGAGGTGCTGCACAATGAAACTCCTTCTTAAACACACTAAGAATACAGCCCATTGCAGACAGACTTGACTTCGCAGCCCTCATCCACACTGCTGTGCACCTGCTGCTGCTATGTTTCACAGAAAGGACGGGCCGACCGTGATGCACTGTGCTGGGTTTGTGGAAGATGTGAACGTGTTGCATTTAGACCAGAAAAAGTGCCCATTTGGACTTGACTACAAAACCTTGTCCACTTCTGCGATGGCTGCAAACCTCACATGGGACCGGATGTGTTTCTTGAGCTCCATGCAAGCCCCCTTTGAGCAGTGACGGGAATTGTTACACAGTAGAAGATTTCTCCCTCAGCCACTGAACCCCAGCTTCGTCACCACTGGCCTCCCAGCAACAGCACTCCCCCGTTTCCTCCTCGCTCAGCAGCTCTGATTAGGACATCTTGAACGAGACAGTGTTCAGGTGGAATATGATTCTTGATTTAATTTTATCAACTCCACAACTGTGACTTCTTATACAGCTTAAGCTGCGAGTTGCTTGAAAAGCTCTTTGGTCTTCATGGTTGAATCTTTGCATGATATTTTGACGGATGCATTTCCTGTTCACAAAGTTGCTTCCTTTTTATTTATCAGAATCCCCAAAAGCTGTTAAAAAATGACAGTCGTATTCATTCTGAATCACGCAAACCACTCTTACTGCACAGACAGACCTGCCTAACTGAGGGGCTGCTTAAGATAATTATATACACCTACATTTATGTGCCAAAACAAAGGGTGTGAATACATAAATAAAATGGTGAGCTCATGATTGTATATTGTCCTTTTATTTATTAGTTTTTTTTGTGTTGAACCTGTGGAGCGAATGTATTTGTATATGTATATAAACAGCCACCTGATAGTAAAGCTTGCAGTCATCACAAAGCAACAACGTGAGACCTGTGCCAGGGCCAGGTGGCTTTTGGAATGGCTACTGGCACCTTGAAAGCAGTACGTTGGGGGAAAAAAAGCAGTTCTAGCTCTAGAAGGGATCCAGGTGGGGCTGCACAGTGGTGGTGGTGGAGGGGAGTCCCCATTACCTGTAAAGCACTTTGAGTAGAGCGCTATATAAGTGTAAGCAATTATCTACCTCTGTATGGCAGCTGTAGTCCCTGGCCAAGGCTTCTAGCATCATGGTCTGTGCTGTACAACACTCTGCCCCCTTGGTCAAAAAAACAAGGCCATCTTGAATCAAGGCAGAGGCTGAAGATCACAAGAACGTTTCATTTTTTAACAGCTTTCAGGGATCCCAGATAAACCTAAAGGAAGCAACTTTGTAAACAGGAAATGCCGACACCGAAGATGCTAATCGGGTGAAAATTCTTGTTTACCCTCATTTTTCCCCTCCACTACAGGCACAATTCCCAAAGTAAACTGGCTGGTGGATTCTGTGCGCCAGAAAAGAATGGTTTCATACAAGTAAAAACATACCCATGGCAATGGCGCTACCGGTTTTAGTTTGGATCACTGCTAGCTCTGGTGGGTTTATTGTGGATCACTGAAGAAATCAATCAGGAGAGCAGCTCACTTTAATCCCCGTCTTCCTTCAAGACTTTGATCAGCAGGACCACTGCAGTGAGACGGCAGCGAAGCTCAACCCGCTCGGACGGATGAAAGCCATGGGCGAAAAATGCAAGCGAGCAACTTCCCATGCCAATTCCAGATTTCTACACGCTGCAAAATGCAAGAACTCAGGCATTTGTTCACTTCCTACGCACCTTCGAAAACATTTGACAGGCTTTTATTTGGGGTGCCAGGCAAACCAGACCACCCTTTGGCAACATGAGGCACGACGACAGCTGTGCGCTCCATACTACTCAAACACTCAGGCATGTTCAGTGCAACTTACAAATGTGCAGAATGACATCATACACATCACCAAACGGGCTTCAGAAACTCTTGAGTCTTAACCTTTAATGTGTTCCAGGATTCCAAAGAAACAGATTCCCTATGTAGTTACCAAACACATGCACAATGAATAACGGTCAAAATAGGTGTCCTACCATACAGACTCAAAATACAACCAGGCCATCTCTTGAACCAGTTCCCCATACATGAGCCACACTCTCCGCTGCAGCAAACAAGGGTGTGAATAGATCAGCGATATGAACACTTAGTTTTAACAAAACTCACTTAATCTATTTCGATATGCTTAGTTGAGACCAAAAACAAGCAATGACCAAATGTTGCATTTCCAGAAATATCTTCCTTACAAAGAAGAAAAGTTACACTTTCACTATCCAGATTAGAAAAAACATTTTATTAACACATGATCCCTGTGAAGGCCGAAGTCTAACATGGACGTTAAATATCTTTTAATACTGCTACTGCAATACTGCAGGTTTTTTGCTCAAATTTCAGGTGCTATCAAACTCCATTTTCAGCTTTTTACCATTTAAAGACTCAGGTGCTATAGGTTTGATTTTCTAGTAGACATTTTAAATACTTAGTACTGACTCTAGACGTGCAGGATACAAGCACAAATAATGAAACATGCCAGACGTCAGAGCTGCCTTCTGCATTGGACACTCCCTCAGCAATCAAGGAGCAAAGCGACACTGAACCTGGAAAACCTCTTCGCAAATTAACAGGTCTTTGTTAAAAAAAAAAAGTTGACTGCCATTTGCCCATAAATAAATAATAAAAAAAAAATACCAGGCTGTCACTAAGATTCAAACTCAGACCTGCTGGATAAACTCTGAAAAACTAGAATCAGATTCCACAAGAGGCCATGGGCCTGCCCAAGACCAGAGGCTTCGCTTCCACGCAGACGGACAGGAGAGCCGGCCGGGCCTCGAGCGTTTGTTAGCTGGGAACAGGAAGCCTTTCCACAGAGGTGCCGGATACCGTGAAAGCCAAGCCTCGGAATGCTGCCTTCTGCTCCGCCACTTGGCACGTCCTGGCGTGTCCACTTACAGCACGCGGGCGAGGAGACGGCGGTCACGAGAGAAATCCTATACCACGCGGATTTACGCAGCTTCCAACGACATCTGTGCAGATTCGCATCGCGCACAGAAAATAATGGCTTTTTTGTATGAACTATACATGGAACCGAGACCTACACAAAGAATAGCCTTTCAGTCCCATGGCAGAGTTACTGTTGCCAGCTATATAGAGGATTTGCAGACATGCACAGCTTTACTATCAAGTCAAACTCCCTTAAACAGGCTTGCAACTCCTGTTCACGTAGATACTTAACAGGACACGAACCAGATAAAGACCCTGTTAATGACTGCTCACACAAAATTAACAAGAGTATTAGTAGTAATTAGCAAGAGTATTTTGAAGTCATATATAGCACACAACCTGGAATGCTCTTTTCTGACGTAACTCTTAGCAACAATTGCATCGCCACTCTGAAACGAATTTGATTCAGTCGTTGAATATACTATCAGCTATATCAACATGTTGATTATTCTCTTGTACCAATCATTACCCAGCATACATCTTCCTTT